CCAGATGTCAGTATTATTGAAGCAGTGTAGGATCATTTGACAGAGAACTAAACAGGCAGCCAACATCCAAAGAGGGCCTTTGGATGTCCATCAAGATGCCTGAACTATTCCCAAAGACTACTTAAAGAAATTATATGAAAAGCTTGGCTATGAGAGTTCAGGCTGTGTTGCAGAATAAAGGTGGTCATACCAAATATTGACTTTTAAGCTCGCTGAAATTGTACAAACTCAGTTTTTCCCTTATGTAGTTCCATGTATGTCTGCACGTTTCAATAAATTGCTGCACCTAATTTCCTTTTTTCTGGCAAAATATAATAAAAATGAGGGATGACTAAAGACTTTTGCATCATACTGTAATAACATGCAGAAAGGCCAGGAGTTTGTGATTTTGATTTCATAAATGATTCCTGTTTTCACTTAAAAAGTTAAGATCTTGAAATTCTTCCATACATACCGTTACTTTTCACCTAGTATATCATAATTGAGGTTAATTCCTTGTTGGGTTGTTAATATAGATTCTACCTACCACTATACTTAAAGTGACATTTACATTAATGAATCAATAATTATGATCCAACAATATCATGGACATGGGTCTGTATAATAAATGGTGGTACTTTTACTTTAGATAGTTCAAGTACATTCTGATACTAAAACAGTTTGTATTATTACTTAGTACTTGTATTATTACTGTTTGTAGTATTAGTAATACTTTCACTTAAAAGTTATAAATACTTGTTTCACTACTTTTTAAAACAGTTATTCATTTTTTTTTATTCATAAGAAGACACGCAATACCTTGTGCTGGTCCATCACATTGAAAAAGTCCTGAAAACACTCCTGCATACACGTTTATTTAATACAAATAGGATTTAGCAGGCTATGTTAACAGCTACTACGTATGATACCTTCCTCTGTTGGTTGGATGGTAAAACAGACGGCCGGAATATCATCTCCCTGTGTGGGCGAGGTTCGGGCGAAGTGGTCGGGTTCCTCCTTCAAATATCCACCAACTCCACAGCCCTGAAACATCCCATTGTTACCTGAAAAGGGATCATTCGTTCACCACCTTTTCTAACCTAGCCCCGTCATAATTTTGGATACTCATTTGGAGGTGGATACTTTTTCTCTCGTAACTTACCTGTTTCAACTGAGGCCAAACTGGTCTTGTTTCTGGGAGTAGTTGGCCCGCTGATCCCGCTCTGGTGTCCCTCTTTTTTGACTGGACAATCCCGAAAGGTCTCTTGACCCGGGCTGACACTTAGCCACGGGTGTTTAGAACTACCTTCTTCAGCCTCTTCTTCCTCTTGTTTTATCCTTTTGGAGTTGGTTTCCATTGTGAGACTGTTGTAGCGATTATTTTGGAAGAGTCTCTGTGTGTTGTGCGTGTTTTTAATTGCGTGTGAACGAATTCAAAACCGTTAGTTGCCAAACGGGGACGTTACGCAGCGCGAGATCTGAACGTTGAATGCTAATGTGTTTGTAAAATGGGTTTTAAGAGTTTTACAGAGAGAAAGATGATGCGATAATTAAAAATAGCTACTTTTACACCATTCTGCAAGTTATAAGGTTAAAAACTATTTCAAACATGTCTGGAAATGTACAGAACAACGGAAAAGTCTCGAGTCTCGAGGGACCCTTGATTCCTTTATTTATTTAATTTTCAGGAAAATTGGAAACAGGTGTAACGAATTACTGCAGCATGTGCTAACATGCATGGAAATACCGTTTTAAGGGGGGAAAAACAGAGTTTGTACAATTTTAATGAGCTTCAAAGTGAATATTTGGACCGACCACCTTTATTCTTTGTTACAGACTGAACTCTCTTTTCCGAACTTCTTGAAGGAAATTCAAAGCGCTTCTTTGGATGTTGACTGGCTTTTGTTCTGTTCTCTGTCCATGTGATCCCACACCGTTTCAGTAATGTTGAGGTCTGGGCTCTGGGGAGGCTAATTTATGACTGATATTGCTCTATTATGTTTTTTTTCTATTCAGATATGCTTTTACTGCAGGGACAGTGTTTGAGATCAAAGTCATGTAAAAAAAAATGTAGTTGTTGCCAATCAGATGTTTTACAGATTGTTAGGTGGACCTAAATCTGATGGTACATTTCTGTGTTCATAATTCCCTCAATTCCCTCCTTTCTCTGTACATATTGATGATTTGGACATCAAATTTCAAATTTTGATTCAACACACCATAACGCCTTGAGGCGACTTTTGTTGTGATTTGGCGCTATATAAATAAAATTGAATTGAATTAAAATCTTTTCTTATAGCACTATGTAAGAACCAGTTCACTTACCACCGAAACCATTTCTGATGAGGCTTCAGTGAACAGTAGACAGATCAATGAAATCCATCTCTGTGGATATGGTTCTGTCTGAGGTTTTTACTGGATTTTATTAGGCACAACATTTCTTTGGTTCCCAACTTTTCCTCAAATCTTAAGAACTCACCGTTTACCATACTGAGGTATGCCAAGTTGTTGGTTTTTAGCTCTTTGGGAATCACCTTGTTGGTGCAAAAAACAAAACAAAACAAAAAAAACAAACAAAAAAAAAACAACCCCATTCTATGTCTGTCAAACTGTTATTGTCAGTATTTTTTTGTCACTTGTCCTTTGCTAAGCTGTCTGCTATGCATAGACACTGGTTCATTTCTTGAGTTAGTTGCCTTTTTATGCTTGAATGATTCATGGGTCAGTGTTCCAAAGTTTTAGAATGATCTGCCCTTGCACGTTAGGCAGGCCTCTTCTCTTTCTGAGCTTAAAACTCATCTTAAGACACATTTATTTGCTAAAGCCTTTGGCTGTCTTTTAAGGGGTTGACTCAATTTGACCTTTTTAAAAAAAACAAAAACAAAAAAACAACAACAAAACAAAACAAAAAAAACTCTGGTTTTATGTTAAAGTGCTTTATGAATAAAGATGGTATGGTAGTGTTTACTGGCTTAACAAAAACAAAAAATAAAAAGCTCAAGAAAAAACAAAACTACTGCTGAAGACTGCTCAAGTTCACCAATGTCCCCCATAGATACCAAATCTAAATACCAAAAATGCGCTTTTAAAAAGACAAAGAGAAACTAGCCTATAATAAGTACACAAAGAAGGAAACTCTCGGTTCATGTTGTCATTTAATTTATTGTTGAATGAATTACAGAAAATATAGGGTACAATCAAATTAAATGAGCTGTACTGAGAAAAAAATAAAATAAAATCATGATTTCAGTTAACTAAATTACATCATCAGTAGCTCTCCCATATGAACATAAAATTACAACTAATAAAATATTAAACTAATAGCTATGGTGTTATCCTTTTAAGAGTAACAAAATAAAGATTTGGTCTTTTGGAGTGCAGTGCCTCAAAAACATGACAAGAGGTTCTGCTGAGCTGTGTCTGCACATCAAACAGAAAACTACACGCACGCACGCACGCACGCACACACCTCTCACACAAACTCCACTCAAGATCCCCAAACCTTCCATAACCATTTATGATAACTAAGCAGATGAAGTATCAAAAGGTGAGGCCAGATTTTTTCTTAGCAACCAAGAGACCCCCACCCCCAAGTGAAGTGTGAGTTGACAAAAATACTTTCTAAATAAATGTACCAGGCAGCCGTCTCAAAAAATTCAGCATTGTCTCATTCAAACAAAAATGTTGCAGATTGTGTTTTCAGTTTTGTAAATATTGGCCCCACCCTTTCCCGCAATCAATACATATATGGTGTCCATACGCAAAGCAGAAGAGACCTAACAGAAATATGTAGAAAGAAATGACACAATCACAAGGAGGTCTAAGGGAAAATAGGAGTGGAAAATACTCTGAATAAAATACTGACAGCCTTTTAATAAGGCTTGTAGATGTCAGATGCACCTACAATAAAATATAAATACAGGGCAAGTGCCACTTTTAACAGTAACTGACTGTTATGAACTTTAAATTTCCTCCGAGTATTTTACAGTAGATATATTAGTTTATGTTGTCTTTTGAAGGGCATGTTATTCACATACTGAGCATCCATTATAGAGAAAAGCTACAAGCCTGATAAAAAGAGAAAAAACATGAAAGCAATTAATCCACGCTCATATGGCTCAAGAATAAGTATAAGCATCAAGTGGTACCTCAACATGTTCAGGTTTCTACCCTTTGATGGGCGAGATTAAGAATTGTCTACACTCCAGAGGTACAAGTGCCTCTCTTCTGCAGACGAGTGCAGGTACTGATGCACAAAGAAATAAAAATAATAAAGACTGCTGCAGCTGTCAAAAAAAAAAAAAGGAAAAAAGAAAAAAAAGAAAAAGAAATTGTGTGTTTTAAAAAAAAAAAAAAACAACTTCTGTTACATAACACTGTAATATTCGCTTCTTTAACCTGTTGAAATCTGGGCTGGTTCTCAAGTCACTGAGGCAGGATTAGCAGTGTGCTCACACAGCGTCAGTGTGAAAGAGATGAAGGAAAAATGTATCTCTTGGCATGATGGAACAGATTCTATTCTGCTACTGAATTTGGTTGAAACCACACAGAACATGATTTCACAGGTATAAAAAGTTAAGGCAGTAATGCCATTTTTATTGGAGTCCACTGCAGTGATTAATTTCTCTGAGCAGATACAGATGGAAAGATTTTGCAGTGTTTCTGTACTGAAGAGAGATACACCGTGAATAATACTGTATATGAAACCGTTAAAGACGAAGACTTTACCCCCCACAAGGAGGTAATGACTAGAGGCTTTGTGATGACACCTTCTCTCCATTTCTGAGAATTTCATACATCTAATTACCGCTGGATGAGGAGCACCAGTGGGTGCTTTCCCCTGCGTCCCCCTGTATCAGCAGACTGGGGTGACGAATGATTACTTCACCAAAGGAAGCAGAAGCAGAAAAAGAGACTCATGCAAGGTTGTCTTCGAGTACAGCAGTCCTTTCATAATTCACTCCCTCATCAAGTCAGACATGCACACCCGCACACAACTCTCTCTCACTCAAACACACACATACGCACACAAACACAAACCTTTATTTCCCAAAACTGCCAAAGTTAGCAAAGGCATCTTGTTTGGGTGGGACCACAGCTGGGGTGATGGAGTGTGGTAGGCCCATCCCTACTGCTGGAACTCCCATTCCAGCCATACTGCCCATCATCACCGGAGCAGACATGCCCATATTCATGTTCATGTTCATTCCCATCATACTTTGGTTTACAGGAATCCCACCCTGTAAACCTGCGGTCATTGAAGCTGGCATACCTGTGGCCAGGGAGCCAGGCATGCCAGTTGTCATTGTTGCAGGCATGCCCATTGTCATGGGGTTGCCTACCATCATGGGATTAGCTGGTGGTCTTATTGATGCCACATGGGGCGGAGAGCTGAGGTTCAGTCCTCCGAAGTTCTGGGCCAACAGGTTGACGGGAGGCACGCCTACATGGACACATATGGAGAGTTACTCAATATTCTCTGGTGTACAACTTATAAAGTATTATAACATCTAATAACTGGATCATTAGATGGCCCATTCTAAACAATATACATTACAGCACAAAAGCTTAGGGCAGTTGGCAGAAAATTAAACATCCCTACATACAGAGTAACAATTATTTTCAGCAACAAGGACGACACCTGCAACAGATCCTTGTCTCACAGAGCCATGCTGTCAGTATCACAGGGATAATGAGGAGACAGAAGCAACTATGACACATTCCTGAAGATATCCAGAACAATAACAGCCAGCATCAAAGTAGTGTGAGGTCACTCAAAGGTTAATGAAGCCCAGTTAGGAAGCCTTGAGCTGAGCGTCTCAATGGTTGCCATCTTTGTGTTTTACACCAAATGGGATGAGCACAGCGTGGATCTGACTGAAGACTTACACTATCTGAGTAATAATTTGATTGGTAAGTTGTTAGACTATGAGCATACCTGGGATAAACTGCCTTTCTGACTCTTAGAATGACAAACAACATAAGACAGTTACATGAGGCTTCATGTTTTATTCTGGATGAACCGAAACTATCGACTAAGCCCATAAAGTCATCAGAAATTAGGTTTACTGAGCTCACAGAGTGAGGGAGCTGAGGGCTTTTCCTCCCATTGACTGCTCTAGAACTAAAAGTCAACCCCTGCTGGCCATTAAAAGGAATGCAGACAATTTCTAACCCTTAAAGCCACATGCATCTTTCATACCATCAACAGGAGCAACCTCTCTGGAACGCCAAGTACTTTCAATAAATGAGTGCAAGTCTATGGACGAACACCAACTTTGTAACGTTCTGTTTATTGCACATTAACTCTTCATGCAGGGGATTATTATTTAAAAACATCTTCACTTTACTTAAACTTTTCTACAGTATTGAATATCCAAAAGGTCTTTTGACTTTGCCATTACACTAAATCTGTAATGTGCATCAATTAAAATCCTTATTTGTTTCCTCATACTGTGTAATACACACATACCTTGCTGCTGGATGATATTGTTGAGTGTGGGTGGCGTCTTAGTGGGGTTGAAGCCGGCTGAAAGGAAGTCCAAGCTGATGTTGACAGAGGGGTCAGACCAGGTTGACCCTAATGTTCCCTGACCTCCAACGCCAACCTTCTGCTGTTGTCCTATGGGTGGCTGAGATGACATGGCTCCCAAACTCTGAAAAACAAATAAAAATGTTTTCTTTACACAATACAAAAATAAATATAGTGATATGTATAATAATTGAAAATGTACATTCTCAACTGAAGTGCCCTCCCCCAATTTTTATTTATTTAGTTATTTTATTTCATGAGAAAAATGAGACCACCTTGTTACTGCACCTACCTGTTGAGAACGAGAGAGGGGCATGGTGGGTAAACCACCAGAAGCACCGGGTGTCACCCCTCCCAGAGAGAAAGTCAGGCTCTGAGAGGCACTAAGTGTTGTATGTGGACTGGTTATTTGATTGTTAACTCCACTCATCAAGTCCAAAAGCTCAGCAGAAGGTGGAATAGAGGTGGTACTGGAGGTCGGGGCTGTGGGTGACTGAACGCTGCCAAACAAGTCAGCGACAGGTTGGGAGGGACCAGAACTAGATGATGCTGGAGGACTGGCAGAGAAGGCATTCCAGTCCCCAAATTCTCCATTTCCATTGGATGATGCAGCAGCTGCCAATTGGACGGCAAAGGTACGTTTAGTTGTAACATATTGACAGGAGCTGCTCCACTCCTTTACTGCATCCTTCTTTAAAAATGTATTACTAAATATACATTCTCAAAAAAAGAAAAAAGTCTACATAAAAGCATAGTCCAAAGTTTACATCCACTCAAGGGCACAAATATCACAGTAATTTTGGGCTTATAATGATTTCTTTGACAGTCCCTTTTTCCAGGGTCAAATGATTGTTCAGCATAAATGTTAAATGACTGCTGAAACGCCAGGGTCACTGTCCACAGTGAAGCGAGATTTACCTCGCAATGGGCAGTGGCTGTTAACTAAGAAAAAAGCCCCTGCTCCAAAATCGACACCTTCAAGCTCAAGTGAAATTTCCAGCTGCCTACATGACCAAGCCAAAAGCCTAGAAAAAGGTTTTATGGACATGAAGTACAGATTGGCCATAACAGAAAGAGTTATGTTTGGAGGAGTAAACATTAGGCTTTCAGACCCAAGAACACTGTACCAACTGTTAAGCATGGTGGTCGTAGCATCATGCTCTGGGGCTGTTTCGGTGGTACATTGCAAAAACTGAACTAAGAGAGGAGGACTACCTGCAAATTCTTCAACTTCACCTCAAATCCATAGATGGATGGTTAAAACATAGACACAGTCGGTTGTTCCAACAAGACAATGATCCCAAACCAAATGTGGGAATTAATGAAGTACAAATACTTCATTACCGTCCTTAAGTGGAATTTTCAGGTATCCATACTTTACTTGAGTATTTGTATTTCTGACAAATGTTTACTTTTATACCAACTTTGCATTATTCAAACATTGCATGAAAATACTGGGTAGTTTTGTGCAGGATAAATAAGTTAGCCTGCAGCAAGCTTACAGCTCGTACCTGTGGTGAATTCTAAGTTGCACTGGTGCACAGTGGCTACGGTGCGGATGTCGGTATTCAGCTACATAAAGCATAATAGATCAATCTACATTTAAGCTGTACAAGCTTCAATTAATTCACTGAATACCAACTGTATATGGTCTAGTTAAAAGATAATCTATAGTATAGTGTCACAGTAGGAAATGAAAAGCCGCCGAGTTAGCATATGAGACATTTGCTTACATATTGTTAAATTCAGTTTTGTAAATCCACAAAGAGCAGCAGGTGAGCTGATCACAGCCTGCAAACTTTAAAAAAATAAATAAATACATACATAATTAAATATGTAAATAAATCCAGTAAATAAATAATTTACTAGAGCTCACAACAAAAATTGAGTTGTGATTCTTTTTGCCATGCTAAGTGACTACAACAGATCTTAGTGTTCCCCCACCTCCTGAATCCCACAACTGTACTCATTTTTCTGTTTAGGTGTATGAGTTGGGGTGTATGGATATATTTGTGCTTGTGCATATAACTTTTGATCCTGTTTATATTAGAGAAAATTCTAAATTAATTTAACTCGTGCACCCAGCTCCTGTTTTTTTCCCCAGTCATTAAAGATGATTGGTTTAAAATAATTTCACCCTGGAAAAAGAACAGTTCAAAGAACAAGAAAAATAAATAAAAATAAAAAAATTACCAAGACATTTATGCCTATGATAAAGTGGTAGTAAACGTCAAGAGTATTATTCTACAGTATGAAGCCAGCACTAAAATAAGGTTTACCGGTGGAGGTCGGGAGGCTGGCAGAAGCTGCAGGAGATGAGAAGTCTGCAAAACCACCAATGAGGTTTGAACTGCCACCTGGAGAGATCAACACAAAAACTGACTCATACAAAGTTCTAGAAAAAAAAAGTGACAAAAGCAGTTTTCATTTACCTGTTGTAGTGCTCTGATTGGATAAAGGGTCGATCACAAGCAGGTCAGCCAGGCCACTGCTGGAAGACTGCCTGCTTGATGGCTAGAGAGAATGCAGGAGGAAAGTGTCCACATGTGCAAGTACACTGAAACTCTAACACATCTGGTAAGGAGCATGTGCAAATACCTTCTCCTCTGGGCTCTTGTCTCCAGTATAGTTGGCTGCAGCACCCAGGTCCAGGGTCTTGTTGGTTGCTGCCACGGTGCGCTTCCGTGTGGTGGTGGTGGTGGTTTCAGTTGCTTGTGTGATCTGAATGCTCTTTGTTGTGACCGTTTCCTCCTCATCCTTGAACTCGAGTGCTTCCTGCCTACCGTTTCTTGATGCTCGGTCCTCCTCATTGTCACTATGGCAACCACAAGAAGGATGTATAAGCGCTCAGGAGATTTTTCTTTGGTTTCGTTGTTATTGTGCTATAACTGTATGTCGGTGCACATTATTGGTTGGATGAGTAATCCAGGTCCCGGTGGTTTAAACATTAAACCATTTGATGTTCAATGTGTGGGTGACCATGCATTCATTTTTGTTTATTTATTATGAGCACTCAGTTGGCTACTGTGATAACATCTTCTGCAGCTTAAACCCCGCAATCATGCACAGATCAGTTTTCATTATTAATATTCCAGAATGCATGTTTACCTAATTCTGTCAGGCGAGTCATCTCGTTCCTTCTTCCTGAACTTGTTCAGAGTGTCATCAATGGTGCTGCCAATCTTATCACTGATCTCTCCGAGCTTCTCACTAAAAGGGAAAGATCCTCTGCTTTTATCCCAGTCTTCATCCCACTTATTCCGATCCAACTCATTAGCTGAAGGGAAAGATGACAGAACTGGAGATGATTCAGTTTCATACGAATCAAACAAAGGATGAACAGTCTTTGGTACCACTAGTATAAACCTAACTGCACATGCATAGTATCTATACTATTTATATGAGATATAGAAGTAGATAGGTGTATAGTATCTACCTAATCAATAAAAGACAAACTCAAATACAAGTTAATGAATTAATTAACAGCAATAAAAAAACTAAAAAAAACAAAAACATAATACAGGTAACGCTGGTTTAACATTTTCATAAATAAAATAAAATAAAATCAAGTCTACTGTGCTTTGTACAATCTCCTTACAAATTTTTGGATGGGGAAAGTTATGTTATTAGTTGGGCTGTCAAAGAAAACCCAGCACATTACTTACAGTTCTTAAAGCTGCCCCCTCCTCCGCCCATACTGTCAGAGGAGACGCCAATGTATTTATCCTTGTTCTTCTTGGCCTTCTTCCTCTCTTCTCTTAATCTGTCATCATCCTGGATGAACTCCACCATCTCCTTCACCTTTTGACGCACATTAATACCCTGATCTTTACCATTCTCATCTGGACACAGAAGACACATGCAACACAGAAATGAAAACAAGACAATTACCTGGACAGCTGTGACATTTATTATCAACAGTACTTTGAGCAACACTGTAACCTTTCTTCCAGAGTCAGCCACCCGGGTCAATGTCTTGGAAGCTAAATGCTAGATTTCTTTTAGACATACCGGTAACCACATCACAGCTCAAATTCACAGAACATTAAGAAGACTTTGGACCACAAAGAACAATTAAATTCATTTAGACACACACCAATGAAGTGGTAGTTTTCTAGAGATCTCAGGTCGTAAATGTGTTCTCTGGCACTGGTGACGACCCTTTCAGAGCCATTCCTGATCAGGTAGGCCAGCAGCAGTAAGGCCTGGTAAAAAAAAAAAAGAAAAGAAAAAAAAAAAAAGAGAGATAGAAGTAAGCGAAAACAGGATGAAAATTTTATTTTTTCTTAAATAAAAATTAAGAGTCAGATTTGGTTGATGTTAGTGAGAAATAATGTTTCCTAAAAATGCTCAAATTCAGAGTGTGTTAAAGTTCCCTTTCCTCTTTCTAAAAATCTTAAACACAAACTAATCTCCACAGCTGCGTGACTGAGGCTTAAGTTCATTTTCTTCATATGAAGTCTGACAGCAGACAGTGTTCAAAAATATAAGTAAACCAGTATGTCAGATTTAAAACAAACAAACAAACAAACAAAAAAAAACACCTATAGGACATGAGACCAAAATTGCCTCAGTCAGGTTTGTACACAACAATAATCCAACAGTACCTTGTAGACTCGTCTCCAGTTCTTTTTGTTGTCCTTCAGCATCCTGGTCCACAGCAT